ATCCTCTTATCTTACATTCTACACACACACACACACACACACACACACACACAAAAAGGTCACCTTCACGGAAGTTCTATATTATTCTGAGATTTATTACCGTACATAATTTCTGGAACATGTCACTCTTTAGTATCAGAGTACAGTCAGTTATAACACATGTTCTTGAAATTAGTTTAAATTGATTATTGCCCTGACATGTTTCGACATTCACATTGTCATCTTCAAGGGTACATACAAAAGAAACCAGCTCAAATTTTTGCAAATAATTTTAGAAAATGATACAGGTATTTTTAAGCATTTTTCATGAAACTGACTTACATTTTGTCACGTGTCTGAGTGACTATAGACGGGTTTTGGACTTATGATAAGATTTACTGACCACTTACGGATGGTAACTGCAAGTAATTATAACGCTCTGGCTAATTCATGCACTCGTTTAATCACTACAGCACATACTAAGTCTTCTAAGTTTGTTTTCACCAGCCGTTTCCTGGTAGCGGATCCTAACTATTTCCTCTGCTTACGTCCTTACAGGCTAGCGAATATCCCACAACTGACTAAACTGAGTCTGTGTCTTATGTTACGGCCGACGGTCAGTCGGCCAGTCTGTCTCGGAATAAAATATCCATCTGGGGCTTACGACCAGATTTTTATTACTGTCAAACAGTTGCGTGTTTGTTGATGTGGAGCTCTCCCTCTAATGAGAGAACGGGTCTGTCGTTTACAATTGCTGCTAGCCCTTGCCAGCCCTGTCATTCACGGGTCCGAGTCCCGTGGGACTCGTGACCATATTTTACTGCCTCAGTTTCGAGGCTTCCATTTCATCGCCTCCTACGGCTCGCAGGCCTACGGTAGAGTTATTCGACACCGCCTCCACACGGGAGACTGATAAAACTCTAAACATGTCCCGTTTATAACCCCTCAGCACGGACCACATAGAAAACACCGCTTCTCACTGTCGTAGTTCAATCATTGCCGTGGGAACATGCTTGTTTGAGAAGCCGTTATTCAACAACGGCTGCCGTATACTTGCTTATTCCACGGCCGTTGTTTAGCAGCGGGCGTTGTTTATAGTCTTTACTGAGCAACGGGTCTACATGCCACAATATGAATAACACCATACTTTACAAGTTACATATATGGAAATTCCTGTAGGCAATCCAAAGATTCGTGTTTCAAAGACGTGAAAGAAACTACATGGTTGATGGCGTGTTGCATATGCCACAGGGTTGTTCAAATACGCTAAGGGCAATATCATACATACACAACGTAGAGCTCGTACAATGTGCAAGCTCAGAATTAAGCAGGAATAACCCCGTGGCCTATTCAACATGCCATCAACAATGTGCTTTTCTTACATGGCTTTGAAACTGCATACAGGAATTATCATACACGTTGTTTGTAAAGTATTATGTTATTTACATGTTGAATGTTGTATGAAAAACAGTTAAAAGTTTCTTTTCAAATGGTCCAAAATTATGCACAATCACGGAAACTAATCCTGAGCTAGTTTCTTTTGTAGTATCACGTATGTACCCCTGAGGATGGCACTCTGAATGTCGAAATATGTCAGAACACTGACAATTTTAAATTGATTTCAAGAACTTGTGCTGTGATAACAGCGAATGCTATGGACTGCAAATATGCATAACCAAACGTAAAAGTATTGGGTAAATTAATTTAATGTCACTGCCAATTCACAAATTTTCGTGTTCGCCTTTTTCGGGTTATTATTTGTACGAGAATAAAAAGCATGAGGTTGTGGTGATCTCCAGTGGCACAATGTTCATGTCAGGTTTAAGGAATATTAATTAACTGGCTGAAAAGTTGAAACGTAAGGGGAGGGCACACAGACAGCATGGTGACCTCAACAGATTGGTTCATACTTTATGGAAGGAATTTTAGCTAAAAACAAGACATAAAGTCCTTGAAGGTGCGTCTTTATCAGATGCTGACTTAGATTGTTATGTCATCGTCAGGAAGTTGTTCGATTCTCTTTTCAGAACAAGAAGGAAACTGAAGTCACCACACCGGATATCTCAGGGGGACTTTTCTTCTGTAATGTTGCCAGATAAAGTGTGACGCACCCTCAGAGATGTTCCAGACGGAGTATATGATGTGGGAGCGAGGGATTGGGTGCAGTGACAGTACACAAGATATAAGGGCCCAGCATCTTGACTGCTTATAGTTAGCAACAGTGGCCTGTAATCTTCTGGATTGTGGCACCCCTGGGTAGCAAGGGTTCAGAGGAACGCTCTGCCTCCATTATCATTCCTAAATGATACCTACTTACTAGACTGACTGACTGACTAGTTAGCTAACCATCTAGCTAACTTACTAACCGACTGAGTAGCTACCTAACCAACTAACTATCTAACTAGCTACCTGACTGACTAAGTAGCTAACTAACGAATCAACTATCTAAGTAGCTAATTAACTAGCTAGCTAACTTACTAACCAACTAACTAGCTACCTAACGAAGCAAACTAACTGGCTAACTTACTAACCAGCTATCTAACCAACTAGCTAACTTACTAACCAACTAACTACTTAGCGAACTAACCAACTATCTATCTAACTAACGAACCAACTACCTAACTAGCTGACTAACTAGCTAGCTAACTTACTAACCAACTAGCTAGCTATCTAATTAACTAGCTAACTAACTAACGAAGTAAATAACTGGCTAACTTACTAACCAACTAACTAGCTAACTTACTAACTAACTATTTAGCTAACTATCTAACTAAAGAACCAAATACCTAACTAGCTAGCTATCTTACTAACCAACTAGCTAGCTATCTAATTAACTAGCTAACTATATAACGAAGTAACTAACTAATTAACTAGCCACCTTGCTAACTAACTAACCAATTACCTAACTATGCCCATGCAGTAAAGTTCTCCTTTGGAAGGTAATACGAGTATGTGTTCTGGTAGTCAATAAATACTACACATTTTGTGGAAGCCAGAAGTTCTAATGGCGGTGGCTGTAGAGACCATTTGCTTTCCGGCATGTGGCACCATCTTGTTCGGTAGATTGTTACCAACCTTTCGGAGGAAACTGTTGTGTCCATCTTCAGTTAAAAAAAAAAAGAATATCGAACCCTAGTTTTCATTACCGTGATCATAAGGCCTTCTGATGTTCCAACCGTAAACTTTGTAGGCATGTCTGTTGTTCTATGCGTGCTATACACCTTATCCATCTCATCCTTAATTTTATACACCTACCAGAGTACACTGGAGCTGGGACAGCTCAGTCGGTAGAGCGACTGGACGACCGAGAAATCGCAGTTCGATTGTCGCCTTCAGACCGGCTTTCGGGGCTCAACTAGCCTCTTATCTGTTGTGACCAGGGTCTCTTCCCCCGGGGGTAAATAGGCTGGGGGGTGAAGCTGACCACTCCCGTACATATAGTCTCTTTTTTTCCTGTTGCTGACCCGTNTGTCCTTATCCCTCCACCGTGACCCTGCGAGTCGTAGGAGGCGACAAAAAAGGAAGTCTCAAATTTGAGACAGTAATATATGGTCTCGAGTACCAAAGGACTCGGACCCGAGAAGGACTGCGCTGGCAAGGACCAGCGGCATATACAAAAGACAGACCCGTCCTCTCGTCAGAGAGGGCACCCACAAAAAACAAGACCGTAACTGTCAAACAGTAATAAATATTTCGTCATGAGTCCCAGGAGGGTGCGCGATACAAAGACTTACTGACTGATTGGCCGTCAGTCGCAATGTGACTATGATTTTGAATTTTCCTGTTTCTCCCACTTTGGAGCATAGGGCATCCGTGAAACGCTTTGTATCACTTCAGTTTCTTAATCCTAAGACAGCCGGTAGGACTTCTTGGACGGGGCATCAGCCCGCCGCAAGGTCACTACATACACAGAAAAACACGAATACAGGATAAAGACAGAGAGGCACCCATGCCTTGAGTGGGATTCGAAACCACAATCCCAGTGTTGGAGCGAGCGAAGACATTTCGTGCCTCAGACCGGCGGCCACTGTGATAGGCTTTACGTACATTTAGTGCCTGGGTTTATTTATGCATTCAGCTATCTTTCCACTTTCCCCTATGTCCGAATGGCACGGCGCTTAATTAAGTACAGAGGCAGGCCATTCCTTTTAACTTTTATCAGACTACACGGTGTCATAACCCAGAAGCAAGAGTACCTTGCCATCCCCGGCGGTGCCACCTTTCTCGAAGTTGCTAAGGAACTTGTTAAGGATCTCTTCCTCCGACTCCTCACCGCTGATGTAGCGGGGGTGGTGCTTCACAGAGTACACCCCTCTGAGGTCGTCCAGCAGAATCACACCATCCCCTGAGTTGTCCATCTTCTTGAAAGCCTCGCCGATCACTTTGAGACGAGATGCAGACATCGGTGGCTGTATCACACACAAAGCAGAATCAGATTAGCTGCATACATCCAAAACAATTGAGAATTCGCCAGAGTTTTACTCAGTCATATAGGGAAATCGTGAATATAACGCTGCTGAGTGGCGAGCACTCCTGATTTGTTCACAGGAGTTCCCAGAGACTGGCTATTTTGACTGAGATTTGTGCTTTTCTTCGGTTTTTCCATGCAAATGCAGATAGCTCCTCAAAGTAGATCGTGACGGCTTCCTCACACATCTTCCTACTTCATTCACTAGCTTCAGAACATTCAACGCCGTCTAACCCGAGTTACTGTTTGTCTAACGCATACCTTGAGCAGGCCAACTTAAGGAATGAAAGTGCTGTGTCTTCTGTGAGATCCCTAGTATTGCGACGTTTTTGCCAGAGTTCAGTAACATTCAAATGATGTTATAATGACCTACGTTAATATTTAATGATGACGTAAAGTAAAAAGTAAAGCTATCCCTGTAACATGCCGTTAAGGCCCATAGGGTTGTGAGACGTTCAGGGTCCCACATTATCTAGACAATCGGCTCAAAGATGGCGGTAAGGTTGTCAGCCTTACGCGCCGGCCGCGCTTTACTCCCCAGGAAAATTATTTAATTAATTCCTGGCACTCATCTCTGTTAGAGGCTGAGTCGACCCCAGGGCCATAGTGCGGCTGGAAGGATTAGGTCAATTGAAAAAAATCCAATGACCTCATCATTTAATGATGACATACCCTCAAATAATGATTTAGGTACAGTTTATTGACAGCAACATTAAATGTACTACGACTATTTGTATGAGGCATGGCTTAGTGTTGGTTGAAACACTGTGCTACAAGCCGGAAGGTCGTGGATTCGATCCCCGATGAGGTCATTGGATTTTTTTCAATTGACCTAATCCTTACTATGGCCCTGGAGTCGACTCAGACTAACATAAATGATTATGAGATATCTTCCAGGGGGGTAAAGGGCAACCGGTGCGTAAGGCTGACAACCTTACCGCCATCTGTGAGCCGAATGTCTAGATAATGTGGGAGTCTCGACGGGGCCTACTTGTTGGACATATATAACTAATCAAAGGTAATGGAATATGCATCCATGTTTTAGTGAAATATTTTAATGCCTTAAATAGTCTGGTATTAATTCATGTTACTCGTTGTCTTTCTTAACCTTACAAATCCCATGTGTCGGATTTATCAAACTTATAAATATTTCTATATCTGATAGCCTGTTAGATTTTGTGGGGGGGGGATTACATAGTCAAGACGCATTTGAAGGGAAAATTTTCCCTTCATTTGAAGTTCTTATTGAGATTTACATATATAGAGTGATTCACGATTTTATTCCTTACTTTCACGAGCTTATACCTTAGATCATTTTCACTCAAGAACTTTACAAAAACATACGCCCAATATTCAACGGTTATGGATTCATCATTACGGGAATTCTAAACAAATGAAAAGAAGTCCGCGGGTTTTTACATAAAGGTTTCATTCGCTGAATTTATACTATCAGTNAGATAAAAATTTAGGGAGATGAAGTCCGGAGATCTTGGTGGCCAATGTTCTGTACTACTACAAAGGGTCCATCGTTTTGGGGAAGGGATGATATATATGCCTATATATAGGGTGATTTTAAATTACTGTAGGGTTTCCGTGTCCCATAATTTCGAAAACGGGAATAATAAAATAAAACGGCTTATGGAATATGAAACTGAAAAAGCGTTTTGCTATAGAATGAATACTGCAGAATGCTAAACAAATTCAACGTACGCGCCGTTCGTGTCACATAAGATGTCCAGTTTCCCTCCAAATGTTCTCCAGCATTTGCAGTGTAACTGTTTCGATCGCAGCAACAATTCTGAGTTTCAGTTCATCGAGGGAGGTCACAGGAATCTTGTAAACAATGTCCTTAACATATCCCCACAGGAAGACATCAAGCGGCGTAATGTAGGGTGAGCTCGGAGGCCACGGAATTGGTCCATCACGCCCAACCCAGCACCCAGAAAAATTCATGTAAAGAAATTCTCGGACAATACAGGCCCAATGTGAGGGGTGCAACATCTTCCTGGAACACCATATTTTGTTGATGATCTTCCAACTGGGGTAACAGATACAACTGTAGCATTGTTGTATCCGGTTTGATAATCTTTATGATATGCATCCTGTTGTGTCACGAAGAGATACAATTTGGGACAATCGCACAACAAATAACCAAAAATAAACAAAATAGACACTGCTGTATTCATTGTTGGTGGTAACGCTACAAGTTTCGACCCTTTTCTTGGGTCACCTTCAGGTGTACGTGAATACTATTTAGCTTCTAAATTGCTTAAAAAACCAGCACGTCCTATATTCTGAAGAAATCAGTTACCCAACAGCACAAAATAACTACCATAGCGGAGCAATAAAAACCACACACACGATATTTAGCAGACACAAGGCTTAAATACAATTTGTAATATGCGCTATCAATACCTTAATAGCCATTTTAATTATAATGGGGTAGCCAAATGAAAACGGGTCACCACGTATAACTCACACGGCGCGCAAGTTGGTAACATTGGAATCTGCTTACGGTACGAACATCTGGTGGGGACTCGGGAAAGCACAGTGACAACGTGCACTTGCACACTAGACGTTTGTTTATTGTGCTGGAAGTAAGGTTAGCGCTACATGTGGTCCTCCAACATCAGTAATGGAGGCAGGTAAAGAAGAACAGCGAAGTGTAGTGCGCTTTTTGACTGCTGAAGGAGTAGGAGGACGAGAAATTCATCATCACATGTCTGTTGTTTACGGCGAACACAGCTTGTCACGTTCGCGTAGGCTGGCGTGGCATAAGAGATTGCGAGAGGGATGTGTGTCACTGCAAGATGTTGCTCTCCCAGGACAGGCTCATCGTGTCATCACTCCTGATGTTATTGCTGGGTTGGATGGGTATATCCGGGCAAACCGACGAATCGCTGAGGAAGAAATTAGTCTTTTGATGGGAATAAGTCACGGTTCCGTACACGCCACTGTGACAAAACATCTGCTGTACCGCAAAATCTGTGCGCAGTGGGTTCCACATCAACTCACGGAGGAACAAAAGACTCAGAGAATGGCTGCATCACTGCAATGATACCATGAGGAAGAAACTTGGTGCCACCATTTTGAACCCGAGAGCAAACGGCAGAGCCAACAGTGGAAACACGTGAATTCTCCCCCACCGAATTAATCCGAAGCCGTACACACAAGTTCCGGTAAAGTGATGCTGACGTTCTTCTTCGACTGAAAGGGCCCTCTGTCGAATTTCTCGAGCATGGGGCCCAATCAGTGCACAGCGCTATGAAGACACTTTGCAGAAATTGANGAAAGTGATGATGACGACATTCTTCTTCAACTGCAAGGGCCCTCTACTTGTCAAATTTCTCGAGCATAGGGCTACAATCAGTGCACAACACTATGAAGACTTTGCAGAAACTGAGATGTGCCATAAAGTCAAAACGCCCTGCAATGCTAACGAACGGCATTATCCTTCTTTATGATAATGGGCGCCCCCACACTGCCAACTCTGTGAGGAATACACTACAAAGATTCGGTTTGGAAGTGCTTCAACATCCCCCCTACAGCCAAGATCTCTCCCCATGTGATTTTCACATTTTTTGGAGACCTGAAGAGAGACAATCATGGACATCGGTTTGCATCGGATGAAGACGTGTGTGGCTGGGTAAAGATGTGGCTCTGTAGATAGTCCACAAGCTTTTTCAAGGATGGGATTGACCGTCTTATCTCCCAGTGGGATAAATATATTAACAATTTTGCAGATTACTTTTGAGGTAAGAAATGTTCTTTAATATGTTTGCCTTCTGACCCGTTTTCATTTGACTGCCCCTCATATAATCTTAATTGTAATTTTATTTTTTATCAATTTAATATCAAGTTTAATGTCTAGTTGTAATTATATTTGAACCACATTTGAAAATTAAGATATTACTGTCAATATAGAATAATCATACAGACACAATATAAATGCATACTAATTAATGACGCGATTCGGGAGCTATAGGGTTCGTGCCACACCTGAAGATGACCCAAGGAAAGGGTTGGAACATGTAGCAATACCAACAAAAACGAATCAAAACAAACTTTGTTTCTTTTGGATTGTTTTTTGTTCACTGTCCCGAAATATATCTTTCCGGTTTGAAATTTATAGGCCACGGAAACACGGAAATCGCACTGTATTTTGATGTCCGACGCATACTCAAGTAGAAACTTCAGGAAATGAACCGATGTAAGGCAACCTCTAGAAGATTTTGGTAAATACTCTGTGCTGCACAATACTTCCATTTTGAAAATCGTAATTAAGCATCAACACACACGTATTCCCATCTTGAACCCCATAAACGAACAGTCTATCTGTATTTTTGGTGCCTGAACACGTAAAAGGCATAACTGTGCACAATATATTAAGAGCATACTGTAAGACACAACACCATACACTGTAAGTAGTGTGTACCATTTCAGTTCCAGGTCAAGTTTGCGTTTCTTTTTTGTTGTTCTTTTTTCAATGAGTCTACAGCTTCCTTGAGTCCTGGCCTCTGATTTTCAGTTTCCAGATCATTTTATAGACGGTAGGACTCCTTGGACGAGTGATCAGTTCGTCGCAAGGCCTCTACCTAAACACAGAATAAACACATACATACGAGTATACCAAACATCCGTGCCTAGTATGGGATTCGAACCCACTCTCCCGGCTTCCGAGCGAGCGAAGACAATACTTCGGCACTAGTTGGAGGTGACTTGTCAGCTTCACGCCCCGGCCGCTTTACCCCCGGGGAAAGAGCCCCCGGTGCCCATTGGATATGAGGTTGGGTGGACCCAGAGCCAGGCTGAACGACGTGGAGAAGAGAAAATTATTGACTCAACCGGGGCTTGAACTCTGACTACTCCGTAGTCCAGCCTGTAGCCAGTCGCTATACCAACTACGCTATCCCGACTCCCATGTTAATTAAAGTTAAGAATTAGAAAGAATAGCAGCTTTAATAGCTTCAAGTGCGCAGAAGGCATTGCAGGAATTTTAGCCGATACTTCTGGAAATAACTTCACTATATGATGACTTCTGAGGTCATCACGACGATGTAGATTCGTATCACACTGTTCTGGGTCACTAACCGTGTAGCCTGACAGTTAGAGGCGACATGTTCCTCCGAAACGTCCGTGTACACCTGCCAAGCTACACGAAAACCACTGTATGAATTCAGGTCATGATTGTTGAGCCTTCCCCACCGATGGTGTCTCCACCTTACAGTAGTGGTGGGGTTTGAGCGCTCCTGAGACCCTGGGAGTTCTGCCGGCGATAGCGTAGCTACTGGTAGGGTCACCCATGCCGGAAAGGTCAGGGGGTAGGAGCCAGACAATGTGGGACACACCAGGCTGGGGGTTGGGCGTGAGGCTAACAACCTCACACCTTAAAAACTAAATTGTTCAGAAACCAGATAATCAGCCTCGGATGGATGTAGAGAAGAACGGGGCAGATTGTTCATGAGACCAAAGCTCACCCTGAGCTGGAGCGCCGAGGGGAGGGAAGGGAAGGATTGTTGATGTTGAGCCTTACCCTAATTGCGACCAAAAACTCTTCCATGTTTATGCTGCCACTCTGATCCGTGTCGAAACGGGTAAAGAGTTCCCGGATCTCCTCGTCCGTGAGTTCCATGCCAGCCTCCTTCATCCCTTCTGTGAACTCTTCCAAATTCAGCGCCTTGCTCCCGTCATCGTCAATGTTCCTGAAGAACCTGCAGACAGTTCTTGGTGATTATTCAGGTAGGACTCTAGTTCTGGATGGTGCGTGGGTCACAAGTATGTCACATAAGTTTTGAATAGTTTGAAGGGAATTTAACAAATTATTTCATGTACAGTCTATCTTCCTTAACCCTCCGGACAATACATCCACGTGTTACAGAGATGTTCCTAGGTCTAAGTCATTGAGCAAAGCGGTAGAACACTTGGGATTAGGGGGAGGGGGGAAGCACGTCAGACATTGCAAGATGCATTCCGTGTGACGAATTTATGTATTTATTTAATGACGGTGTCAGTAGCACTTATACACCTACAGTGTCGAGGAGTGACATGAATAGTAAATAATGAATTGTGATACAAAAGGCCGTGCCATAGCTCAGGCGGTTAGTCGCCGGCTTCCCACCGCGGCGGCCCGGTTTGGAGCCCAGGTCAGGTCATGTTGTGGTGGACAAAGATGCACTGGGGCAGGCTTTCTCCGAGTATTTCTATTTTTTCTCGCAAATTCTCATACCACCGACTGCAGCATACTCACCATCTATCTTCTGGGACTGGTGCAATGGCCAGTTAGTGGCCGATATAACAAGTGGAGTCAGTCTCACCCCACGCCAAGAATCCCCCCCCCCCAAAAAAAAATGTCAAAAAAACAGTAAGTTAAGTTTAATACATCACAGTGCTTAATTAATTTAGCGGCGCGTCATGAAGGTGTGTGGGTTAGTGGAAATATAACACTATGTTCTTGATCAGTAGTCAGCTTCACGCTTCGGCCGTTGTAACTCCGATAAAGAAGTCGCCGGTACCAATTGTAGAGGAGGCTGGGAGCAGCTCAGACAGAAGAGAAGATTCTTTGCTTCCTCTGGAAATGTGCACCGGCTCTCCGACCCGTAACCTAGTCACTGTACTGACTGAGCTGCGGTGGTCCAATTACGTGTACAAGTACTTTCCCGGAATTTCTTCTGGAGGGACTGAGGAAGAGCACAAATAACCTGAGTCTAGCGGCCGATATATGAACCTGAGGCTTCTCGCATGGAAATGAATACTACTCGGTACATCGTGACGTACGCCAGAAGAGTAAACTTAACTTCGCACGTTATTACTATTGTATCTGGACTACGGGATGGGTGGCAGGGGTTCGATTCTAGGCAGAGGTAGAGATTTCTCTTATGCCCTGCGTTGAGATGTGCTCTGGTGGCGGACTACTCTGTTCATAGCTCATAACGAATGGGTACCGGGAGATTTCTCTCCGGGGAGTGAAGTGATTCCTGAAGGTGATCTTTCACAACTGTCAAGCGGCGAGCTTAAGAATGCGTCGAGCTGTGCCTCCACTACCCCTTACATTTTCATACCGTGGTGCTTAATTAAGCACAGGTACAACTTTACTTCTTATTGACTTCATAAAGTACACGCCATTGATGTGAAAATGGTTTGGGGCAGTTGAAGATCAAAAAGTTCTAATTTCTCATTTCCCTAAATAAGCCTAGCTGTTCTTAAACTGAGTGACAGAAGTATTTTTACAAAGTCAAAGAAATTTTAGTTCCTGGAAAATAACTTAAATATGAATATTTGAAATCGGAGACTAAATGTAAGCCCCTAAACCCTGTTGTGGTCTGTCGTATTTACTTATTAGAATGTTGCACCCTTAAATAGGTTGACAAAATTAATCCATTAGTCTTTGAAGGAATGAGGTCAAGGGCCTTTCACATTAGTGGTGACTAGTCTGTAGTTAAGTTTGTTTAGCTTTCTGTAGTCATGCTGAAAGTGAAAGTAAGTCAGAAAACTAAATTACAGCTGTATCAGTGGAAGTTCGAAGGAGAGATGATAAGTACGGATAACACAATTC